AAATTGCTGCTATACATGGATACAGTACTGCTTTATGCAGATGCATTATGATATCCATTAGATAACACGATTAACTATGGAAGCGATCACACAGCTCAGTCCAATCCCTCAGCAACTGAGCTGTACCCGCTGCTACAAAATTGCTTGAGTAAGAGGATACTCAAGTATATTTAGTATTTAAACCACAACAGATTGTTTAGAAAACTATACATAATTAGAAAGATACTCAGAACGTCCACATGCCAAGGACTACTTGAGGTTAGAAAGCTAAACATTGGCTTTACATCATTATTAAAGCTGTGTATCATTCTACATGACCATTGTGTGTCATTCTACATGACCAATTTGAAGCTTTCCAATTCAAACATATTGCTGTTGGTTGTCAGTCAAGCTAGTATAAACAATGGCCCCTCTAGAGGAACTGTACTTGTAAATTTACTGTACATCACCTGGTAAAGTTTACTACCTGTGGCTGAAAAGCCCTTGCCAACCATTCTAATTTATGGAGCATTTCATACTTGTCTACAGAGAACAATTCTATTTAGTATTTTAACACAGCAGAGGTTTTTGTCTGTAAAATACTCTGGAAGTGAATAAAACTGCAATTTTCTCTCAAAGGTAGTAATGATTTCACAGTCTATTGGATAAATGTATTTTGTATGAATTCTACTGAGATATCTGCAAAGTGTACAGCTGAATGTGTAGTGATGGTAAGGTAGCTTTGATTGTTGTGTGTTTTCTTTCAGAAACGTATTAAACTGAATTAACCATGGATGTTGTTTTACAGAAAAAAAATATACCTGAAAGTTAATTTTTTTTAGGCATAAAAATATGATGTTCTTTACAAAGGACATTTTATCATTGCACAATTATTTTGATTAGTTGTATAATGCTGCCATATTCCAAAGCGCTTTGCAAAAAACTGAACCATTTACAGCAGAACCTGCCCCCAAAGAATCATTAAATGTAACATCCCTAGCACTGTTTTAACAGTATAAAGCCAGGAAGCCAATGCGATTTAAAATATGGTAGGAAATCCTTACACACACAGGGCATTCTGCATATTGGGTATTATGTCTTGGTGGACAGTGATTCCTTGAGAATAGTTTTGCTTGGCAGCATGGTGTCTTTTTTTACCTTGGTAAAGTAAAGTAGTGGTGATGTCATCCAAGGCTTTTACATAGAGCTGAAGGTGTGGTAAGATACCTCCTAGCTAACCAGGTCATTTCCTGGTCATGTGGGTGAGCTTGGGAAAAAAACTTTCTCATGATTCCACCTCTGCATGCATTAGATAAGCACCGTTCATGGGTGTTTTAGGTTCTGGACTGGGGTGGGGTTAGGGTTGAGATAATCTCCGCCAGGGGCCTACTGTAATATAGTAACTGGATTTTTTTTGTCACCAACATCTTGCAATGTTTTTCCTTCAGTGACGGAAAACCCCTTTCCCAGTGAAGATATTTAAGATTGGGTTATAAATACATGGCTCTGGCAGTTCTACAGGTGCATGGTCTACGCTGCAATTTTGCAGTGCTTTGCGGCTATTCTGCCCCAGTACGAGCCATGGATACTCTTGCAAATTCCTCATACAATCTCAAGCATATTCATGGTAATACATGGCATGGACTATCAGAATTTTATTTTTGTTCAGAAGTTAAAAAAAAAGCAATCAAGATTAATGATTTCTTATAATTAACCCTCAATTAAAAATATAGCACTGGAGTGTAAAAAATGTAAATGGATATTAGGATGCCATAACAAACTAGGTATGATGAGTGTAATGGTATGGAAAGCCTGGGGTTGAACTCACTTTGCTGTAAATGAAGGCCAGCTTTCCATGTAGTGCATATGTAAACCAGTGCTGCTAAACTAGGCCATAAAGTGCCCAGGGCAAAGATGCCAAACTGCAACCACACTCCCCCCCACCCAATTTTTTACACATGACTCTTTTGCTGCATTTCTTGGAGCATTTCACAATGCACACTAAAGAGAAAGTGGAAGTAGAATAACTCCCATAACTTGTCAATAGCAGTATTAGTAACACCCGGCATTGGTGTCAGTGGCCACAATCAAAACCCCCATGGTTGGTGATAGTGGATGCAATAATAACCACCATCACTGGTATCAGAGGCTGCAAAACACTGCAACATACTGTAGTTTTTAATTCTTGGATTCTTTCTCCATAAAAAGGTAATTACAATAAAAATGACTGCTCTCTGACATGTGGTGGACCTGGACCTCTCTGTACTACCTACGTTGGGCCTGGTAGGCAGAGTCAAATAACACTGGCTATGAAGAACAATTTTCTATGTGGTGGACATTTACTACACAATGCACCAAGAGTGATTAATTTTAAGAAGCAATTTGGCAAAGACACTTTTGGTAAGGACTGTACCCCAGGGTTATTTTTCTTTGCAAAAATTACGAATCTGACTACCTTTATGTATCTTTGTAACTATGTCTTACCTGAAACCAATAATTGGACATTCCTTACAAATATTACACTTGGCTTGATGTTTGGCAGTTTCAGCAGCAGCGACTCTATGAAGCACCGGTAGCCAAACCATCGACTGTGGCTCCAACCTCATCCAGTCCAGAAACAGGGCTGCCTCAATCTCTGGTTTATTGTTGGCCTGTAAAAACATGTTTAAAGCACAAATGCTAAAAACATAATAAAAAAACAAAGTACACCAAAAACTACAAAACATTTTAAAACAAAGTTCCACCTAGCTGATTAAAATTACACTAACCTGTGATATTGGGATAGAGAACATTTTATTACATGGAAAACTTATGCTTCAACAAATACACACAGTTATATTGTAAATCAGAACATTAGTCATCAGCAACAATACTAAACACATTCTGCCAGATGCTGTCCAGAAATAAAAAGGCCAAAAATATCCGGTGACATAATCATAATTGGTGTCCAACTTTTACACAGGGTAAAGAACAAATAGTTTATGCAGCTACCATCAATAAACCATCTATAAAGACAGCCATGTATAACTCTTCCAAATCCCAGTTTCCCTCAGTTCTGTAGCAAGCAATACAAGAGTGGATGAAGGAAAAGGAAGGGGGGGGGGGGGGCCCGGGGTTGCACTTTAAAAAAAGC